GCACTGTTGCCTCCAGTGTGGTCTTTTTCAACAAAGAAGTGTTTGTGGTGAAATATAAATGCTAACAGTCAACTCAGAATCATGAACAAACCCTGATTTGACCGCTCATAAGTTACTTAAGGCCCGATATTTTTTCATCAATCATTTATCGGTACCCTAACTTGAGCAGGTGTTTTTCAGGGTTTCCCACCAGAGTTGAACTTCAACATTTTAAGGCATGTTATTACACCTTTACAAACATATTGGTGAAGAAGTTGTTTGGTAACGATTTAGTTGCCAGACTTTGATTTATCCCTTACTACACATATGATCTAAAGTCAGATGTAGCAGCTATTCGCTAATAAAACCATCGAATCACGTCGTCAGACTGGTGCTGTCAATGCTTTGGGCGTTGATCAGCTCACACATCCACTGTGGCTGCAGATGGAGGGACTGATAGTGAACTGGTGTATGTCTGTGCATGTTTAAGCTCACTTTCACACTGACATCCTGTTCAAACTCCCTTTTACCAAGACATCGCAGTAACAGAGTAGACGAGTCATTTTGTTCTTCCTGGTTTCTCCTCAAGAATATTTCATTTTCTCGCCTCGGTTTTTCAATTTTATTTTTGTAGAAACTCACTTTCCACCCAGCAGCATCATATCTATCCTAACTGATTGCAAAAAAAACAAACAGACCCTGCATTCGTGGACAGTTTGGGAGCATAAACGTGTCTGACTGTGCAGCTATAACATGACACGGAGCTGCCACGACTGTCCTTCTGTGCAGCAGGTTGTTTTCAAACACACTTTGTGGAGACGGTGGATCTTGTCGAAGCAGCTCTTCGACGAAAACCGTAGATCCGGGCGAACAATGCAGCTGATCCCTGCGTGTCTCAGTGACAAGTCACAGTCTGCAGGCGCTGTGGGTTGTTTTGACAGCTTTGTTGGCTGGCTTTCCTTCTTCCATCTCCTGCGAATGTCATCTGGGCTCGGCCCGACGTAAAGCCTTTAACTGCAGGGAGATGAGGGAGATACGAGCGCTCGACTCAACGCCTACATGCGGCGACACCGGTCCGGCCACGTTGACAAACGTCACGTGGAGTCCTGCAGTCGAAGAGGATCTTCACCTTAAATGCACTTTGACTGAAACAGCTGTGATCTCGTTCCAGTTTGTTTTAAGCGACTCTGCACACGATCCAAGAAAAACTCTTGCAGTTGCCCGATGAAGCAACTGAAGGAATTTGGTCCAAAAGCATGTCAAGTGATGTTTGTTGGCTTCCACTGAAACAAGTCATTCATTGCTGAATAGTTTTATTAAGGCTGAGACTCAACAGTGGTGCAGTTTGACAGGGACGAGATTTATGACTTGACTTCTAAATATTATGGTGTGTCATAGCTTAGCGTGTGAAAACCTTTCATATCATATCATATCCATGCTGCTAAAACAGCTGATCAGTTGGTGTTTTATTCACACAAAACATGCAACTGGGAACCAAAATGCATTTCAGAACCACATGTTGGAGATGAATTCAGCTGCAGAGTTCTAAGACGGGTCGGTCAGCAGATCAAACACATAATTCAGAACCACAGAGGAGCTCAAATAATGATGCCATCGTTCAAATATTCCAGAATATATTTGCACAAAATGACTGAAACAAGCACCACTGCTCCAAAAAGTAATTCAGGGGACGTCTTCCTACCACTGAATTAAATGCAAAAATACATTCTCGTGATTTCCTGATTCAGACCAACCTTTTACGTCGCAAACAATATTTTGGATGCGTTCGGTTGACATGACAATGTTGCATTAACTTAACATTGTGTGTAATTCAAACTCAAACTTTATTAAAACAACTGAATAAAATTTGGCTTGATAACTGAATTTTTCTACTTTCACGCAATTTTTCTGTTAGTACATTAACAAAATCACAAAAAAGCTAAAAATGCAGCATTGAATCTAACTGGAGAAAAAAGATTTAAAAAAACAAAACAAGTTTGTGAACTTAAAAAGTTGTGATCATGATTGTGATAATTAAGAAAAACATCTTCTAAATAATGTGGAAAAACAAGTTGGAACAGATTAAAAATGTGTTTATGCTACTAATCATAAAGCTAATTCCATGAACTCACTTTAGTTTGTTGGTTGAACATAATTCCATTGAGAAGTTGTCTCAACTCAAAAACAAAACGTTGCATCAACTTAATATTATACGATATTTAAACTCAATGTTCTGTATTAGTTGAATTAAAACTGAACCATGATTTTGTTGTTGGATTACTATTATTTTTTTTAAAAAGCTACTCCATGAACAAAAAGTCACAAATTGCTGCAGAACATGTCAATTTTTATAAAATGTTCTCAAATTTTCAAACTTGTGGTCATGATTGTAGTAATTAAGCACATGAAACAGAAAAAATCCTGGAAAAACTAGTTGGAACAACTTAAAAAACTTGTGTTTATGCTGGCAGTCATTAAATTGATAAAAAATACATTTGATGAAAGAGGAACAGCTAATTCCTCTGACTGGGTTCAGCTTGTTATCCATCCATCCATCATCTCTACACCTTAATCCTCACTAGGGTCNTGTGTGTGTGTGTGTGTTGCTGGGCAGGGCTGTCCCAGAACTGGGGTGTAAACAAGGTTACGTAATGCAGCTCGCCGTCACACCTCCTTGTAAAATGGCTGTGGGGAGATTGGTGCGTTTGGCAAATCAACTTTCTTTGCAGTGTGATTATCAAACGCACATGTAAACAAATGTGTGAAATATTAACGTGACAGGTCAAGACAACTCAAGCCCTCCAAACTGAGTGATCATTTAAGGGGAGGCTAAGAAACAGAGCAACATGCAGGGAGAAAAGAGCGGTTCTGTGTGAGGAAAGAACTGAATAGAAGAACTGGAGGGGGGAGAAGATATGAGAGGGAGAGGGGGAGAGCGGTGGTGAAATGGAAGCTGTTGTGCAGCTGTGTCGAACACTGTGTGACTTTCTGACGCCCCCTGGTGGCCCAAGATCGCCACCGAATTCACCTGAAACGGATGAGAGAAAAAAAATCACATAATTTCTCCATAGAAACGTGTGGAATAGTTTCACGTCGTGCACCAATCAACGGACTGTTTCACTCTACGGATGTACGAATGTGACGGTGCTGCAGGTCCGACAGCTGATTCAGATTCGTTGACTCAAGACCAACAGTAGTATGGAGGTCAAATGACAACAGTAATAACAAACTGATGCCACATTTACAAATAGGTCAACAAAATCAGCTTAAACATAGATAGTTGTGAGCAATTACCTAATAGGCTTTTCTATGTTTTTTATATATTTATGCAGAATTTTTCTTGAAAAATTCCAAATTCTGATTTTACAGTTGCAAAAATTTGATAAATATCATAAACAGACAGGTGACAAATTAAAGGAAAAACCTGTGTGAGCAGGTCCATCTGGTTCTGATATTGTATTGAGATGGGAAAAGATCTTCATTGGGTTCATCGTTGAGGCACAGATGGCAGGAGCTTCAGTCGCAAAGACCGGCTTCAGCAGGAACAGTGACTGACGTGACAAAACATGAAATCTATGGGAAAGACTTCATTGAATACGGTTGGAAATTGTGGTCAGTAGTGCACAGACTAGAGCGAGAACAGTTAGTCAACAGATATGTAGAGAGGGATGTTATAGTTGGGTCGCAGTGTGTAAATGCTGCTTTGCAAAGATGACGTCACATCTGAGCGTTCAGTGGTGGAAAAAACATGAGCGCTGATCTACAACAGAGATGTAGAGAGAAGTGATATCGTCACTGCTCACCATATTCTCCACAAGTAGGTGAGTGCATGTGAGAGGGTTAGTGCCAAAGTGGACCAAACCACATTTAATAGTTTTAAAGAAAAATGGGGTAAAAATTTTGCATTGCTAAAAAAAAAAAAATCCTAGTTGTTGGAGGAGTCATTATATCCAAAGATGTTTCAACACTGTCCAGAGATAGAAACAGCTTCTTTGTGATGACTTATTTAAGTTTTCATTTTTGCCTTTCCTTTTGCTGAGTGCCAAAGCAGGCCATACCACATTTTCTACTTTTTGAGAAAAAAAAAAAGATTAAACAGCATTAAAGAGTTCACATGGGTCATCATAAGGAACTAGAGATACTTTTAAAGACCATGGGGTAGAAAAGCTTATTTGGTGGTGGTTAATTAAGTTTTTATTTTACCTTATCGTACCTACAAGTTGGGTTTTCACGTAGCTTGAGGTCGTGTTGTCTTTCATCTTGAATCACAAACTACCTGCGTCCACGATATAACGGTCAGTAACTCCTGTGGTTTGGTCCAGTTTGTCACTAAATTTTCATGCCAAAACCATCATGGGCCAAACTTCAAAGTCGCATTGTGACATTACCAGTGGACTGTTGGTTGGACCACTTTTCCTCGAACTAGTCAACCATAAACACTTGTCAAAAAAACATCAAACTCAACTTTGGATTTTTTGTGGTCTGGTCCGCTTTGGCTCTGAACCCCTCATTTGTGGTATAAACCAAGAAAATGGCCTAAATGCTTGATCCCTACAGTGTGGACATAGGGTGGCTGGTTTGGATTCTTTTTCCCCACCTTAGGCCGGAGTTATACTTTCTGAGTACATGAGAGATAATGCAGGTGTTCTCCCCCAAATTCATGAGAATCTACGGAATTTAGCAATGTGCAGAATACATAGATATGACGTACTGAGTCCAAGCAGTTTGGAAAAACAATATAACAACAACAATGTGTACGAGGTGTCCGCAGGTTTGGAGTATAATGGAGTATAATCAAGGCTCTAGAGGGAATGATATGATTAAACATGTGATGGTAGTGGTGATCCAGGAGAAAATGACGTAGATGTACGGCATTCCCAGTCACCACATCTCAACCAAATGGAATGCTAACAATGGGAGATAGACAGTCGTTAAAACACCAAAAACATTTGGAAAAAATGGTGATTCATCCGTCCAGTGGTGCCCAGAGAGTTTTGTTGAGACACTCTGAAGCTGTTCTAACACCTTATTATGACACTATATGATGGATGTTCCTTTAGTTGGACACCTCCCTGTATGTTGTAAATAATTAGATTTGGTTGTTTAAGGTTTCTGAATGCAGAAGTATTCATACGGGGTAGGGACTGACTGATTATTGGCCTGGCTCGACCCCAAACATGGCGTATCTAGAAAGGTCAAGGGGGTTGTTTTTGGAGGAAACAGGACAATCTCTGGGAAAGTCAGTGTTCTTCTTAAATCTGAACGTCACTAACTCCTTTGTCTCTTCGTCACAGGTCAGTTATGGACTTAGAGCCCGTGGATCCAGACTCACCCGACATCAAGAGGCGGCGGATCCACATGTGCGACTATGAAGGCTGTAAAAAAGTTTACACCAAGAGTTCCCACCTCAAAGCCCACCGGAGGATACACACAGGTGAGAGCTGAGCGAAACGCAGCCAAGTCTGTCCGACCTGAGTTCTGTGCAGGTTTAAAGTTGGTTTCACCATTCCCTCTGGTGGCTCAGTATTTATGAACGTCTACAGCAGCTTTCGATGCTTTCCTCATCTCAACCTAATCCGTTGCTAAACCAAACCTCTACCGTCAAGGTAGCAGATCACAAAATGGTCCAACATCTGCAGACAATCTACCTGTGTTGCAGTCAAGGTGTGCAGACATTCTGGATTTTTGAAAAGTGAATGAAGTTGGGTTTGGTTGTTACAAACACTCATCGTTTTCTGCCAACATTCACCAATAACCCAGTAGAAGAAGAGAGCAGCAGCGTAGCAGTGATTTCACGGGCTTTGAGAGTTTATTTCCATAAATCATCTGTTTGTTTTTGTTTCCACTGGTGTCTCAACCTTCCTTCCCTCATCCTCGCCAGGTTTTCCTCTCCTGACCCACTCTACATACTCATTGGCCACTTCAGTACCTACACCTTGCTAGTACCGGGTTGCCTTGAGAATGGCCTTAGTTCTTCTTAACATAGATTCAACAAGGTGCCAGGGGACACATTCCTCACAGGTTGAAATGAAAGCATCACGCAGTTGCTGCAGATTTGTCGGCTGAATTGAGATCAGCAGCTTCTGAAATAGTCAGACCAGCCGTTCGGCACCAACATCTACCTCAGCAGGCCGCCTTGGCCGCGTCTACATGCCTAAATGCCGCAAGTTGCTGCCATGTGATTGGCTGATTAGACATTTAACGAGCAGCTGAACAGGTGTAATGAAGTCTCCAGTGAGTGTGCATCACGTAACTGTTCATCCCAGAAATGCTGCTTTATGTTCCATTGCGATTTCGTCAACTTACTCCTGGTTCACTTTAAACATCTTCTGCACATATCTGTAGTCGTACGTCCTGGTTTAACGCTCGTTTTCCTTTTGTTGCTCTTGTTTTTTGCACGTTTTGTTTCGTGTAACTACTTTGAGAGCCAAGAAAACACCAAACAGTCAAATCTCTGGTATGCGTTCACCTAACTGGCCGGTTCTGATTCTAACTCCTGGTCTGGGTTGCAGGAGAGAAGCCCTACCACTGTACCTGGGAAGGCTGCACCTGGCGCTTCGCCCGCTCCGACGAGCTGACCCGACACTTCCGCAAGCACACAGGAATCAAACCTTTCCGCTGCACCGAGTGCGACCGCTCCTTCTCCCGGTCCGACCACCTCTCCCTGCACCGCCGCCGCCACGTCATGATGTGAACTCCTCCCCTTCAAACCTCCCCTGCTTTTGATTTCCCCTCACAGCACATCTTGTACCAGAGCCCCCCCCTCCGCCCCGTCGCCTCTCATGAACCTCTGCTGCCCACCCCTGCAGGATTACAAGCCCCAAACCCTGAAACATCCTCCTCGCCTCGCAATCGCAGGTTCCCCGGGAATGTTTGTGCTTCATGGAGGATTTTACACATAATCACCGTCCACCCCAAAAAAAACAGTCCTCTCTCCGCCATCCTCCACACGAGACGTCGCCTCCTCAGAAGGAGAAGGATGGACTAAAGGACATCCAGCAGCAGGGACGTTCATCCATCCATCACATGCATCCATCCATCCATCCAGCGGAGAAGAAGAGGAGGCAAAGAGGAATGACGCGTGTTTTGTTTTTAATCTCGGATCTTAAGTCGGACGTCACTTCAGCTGCTTCTTTCTTGATTTTACAGTCTGCACATATCCAGAGTTGGGAAGTGATGCGACTCCAAAAATTTCTTGATGGATTTTTGAGAGAAAAAACTCCCAAAGACGGCCGTTTTCCAGGAACCTTTCCAGGAACCTTTCCAGGAACTTAAGTAGTTTATGTTCCCTTTTTTTTTACCGACTTGAGGATCTGTTTTGCCAAAATTGGCGGATTATTTCACTTTACGTCCTCGTAATTAGCATTTATAAGCAGTACGATGTGTATCAGTGTATTTGTGTTTGTTCTCCCTCCACAAATGGAGATTATTCATGTTATCTGTGCAAACGGATGCTGAATGAACTGAGAAGTCACACTTCAAATCTTAGCTACGTACAACCACAGTTAGATATTTGTTAAATGATTGCTTATAAATGCTAACTGGTCGGACTGTCTCCAGAGTTTTTAAGAAGCGAACAGGAATGAGCTAAAAGAACAGTGGGGTTCCTCAGGGTTCTGGTACTGGTTTGTTGTTTTTGGGGGAAAACAACCAATTTGGATTCAGTATTGACCAAACTGTGCATATCGGTGTGTTTCTGATGCAGCTGAAGTGACGTCAGGTGTGAATTTGTTCTTTGGTGAACCTGTCTGAAGCTAACAGTAGTTTGTTTAGTCCTCCCCCCACCTCCCCCCTCCATCACCTCCATCACCTCCTCACCCCAGACCTCCCCTCCCCTCCTCCTCCCCCCCTGGTACAGGGAGCTACAAGACTGTGAACTTTATAAAGATTCATTTATTTTAATTGTGTATCAATCACATTGTTGTGTTCTCTCCCCTCCCAGCCCCTGCACACACCTCTCCTGATTCCTCCTCGATAACAGTATTTTGCTTTTTACGTGTCGTTGTTGCTGTTGTTTTATGACATAAGGCCTTCAGTCTTGTCTTTTTTTTTTTATTTTTTTTTAATCTTTGCCAGGTTTTGGCGTTCTAAACAGAATGAGGTCTTTAAAAGATATATGAGGAAAAAAAAAAACTATTTCAGATCCTTTTGTTGTTTTCTGAGGCTGTGAAAAAGACGGAGGAGACACAAATAAGAATACAAGTAAAAAAAAACAACTCTCGCAGGGAATAGGGGAGCTTTTTCTGAGTGTGCGTTATCGGTGTGTGTCGTACACGTGTGTGTGTGTGAGTGTGTGTGAGTGTGTGTGTGCATGTTTTGAGACAAAACACATAATCAGAATTTAAGATTTTTACGAGTGTGTGTTCCGGGCACTTGTTGTTCTTTTACCTCTTGCCCGTCGAGCCTTAATAACTGAAGTCAATCTGTAAGGGCGAAACCAGAACCACCGACGGACCACGTTCGGCCGGACTTCACAGCTTTCATGGGACTTTTAACGCTGCGAAATGTGTTTTTTTTGTTTTTTTTAAACAAAAAGTGCTGTTTGCTGAAGTTTTCACATTTTAAAGGCTAATTCTGTCCTCGTCTTTGCAGCATTTTAGATTGTGAGCGTTCAGAGCAAGAAACTCTGCTGGAGTTTTCGGCGATAAAAGACGAGAAACTCCAGTTAAAGACGAGATCGGGTTCCTGTTGCTCGCTCTAACTCAACAGTGAGAAACTTTAGCAAAAATCCTACAAGATTTGTGAGACTTTGCAGCACGTTCAACCCCCCCGACGACGTAAAAGCCATCTGCGCTGGTCTGAACAAACCAACATGGCCGCCGCCGGAAGTCCGAGTCGCCCCGATCGTCCGTCGGTGGTTCTGGGAGAAACCAGGCACTGTGTCGGGCTGTCAGGGTCCGTGGTGCCTGGGGTTTAAACCATGGGGAAACTAAGCTCTCTCCTCGCTAGCATTTCTACCAGGGTGGGGGTCAATTCTCTCAACTCGTTTAGATAGAAGCTAAATTAGAAGCTAACCTCCGGTGAATATTAACACACGTTCTCGTAGACTTTCCCGGCTCATATTTCCTCCGTGCTGAGCTTCTAACTGGCACATTTTTTCAAAAACCTTTTTTTTTTCTGTTCGGAGCAGAATTGACCCCCATGACCCTGCTCTCTAACCCACGGTGTGCATGTCTTAAGTGGGCTGTTTTTCAGCTCCTGATCTGGGCTGAACTTGATTATGCAACACAAAAGAAAAAAAAAAAAACAACCTCGCTCCGAGCGCTGTTCTGAACTAGTCGAGCACTAGCAGCTGGGTGAAAACGAGAACAACAAAAAGATAAATAAGGGAGGCGAGGACGCGGGGAGGCCTGGAAAGCCTCCTCTGAAACTCCCAGCTGAGGTTTGTGATCAGTCGGACTTCTATCAGCCTGATGTGTCCCTTTACGAACAACAACAACAAAAAAAAAGAAACGGCGTTTTTGCTTCGGAATCTCGTTTGGAGTCGCTGTTGTTGTCGTCATTTCAAAAGCTAGTAAGCGAGAGCAGAAAATGGTATACATCTGATTTTTCATGGCGTGGTCGCTTCAAACGGACGTGCAGGCTCCTCGTGAGCCGAGTGCATGAAATGAAGAGGGCAGATTGTTGTCTGGTCTGAACGCTGCAAGAAAAGAAAAAAAAGAAGATTCTTCTGAGCAGAGTCGCTGAATCTGAAATCTTATTTTTTAAAAATAGGATCCTAAACTCCAAGAAGAGTCTGGAAACAGGTTAAACAGAAGGTGAAATGTAAGGAGAAATGTTGTTAAAAAACTAAATCCAGTGACTTGCTTGGAGGGGTTTTGCTCTTTTTCTTTTTTCTTTTGCAGCGCAGACTAATGCAGCGTTCCCATTTCTCTTGACATCTCCCTCTGCTTCGAGTAAAAAAGAAAAAAAAAAAAAGTTACTAAGCACATCTTTCTAGAAGAGTATATGCATTTGATTGCAATTTTCTTTCTTTTGTAAACTGTTGATAAAGACATTAAGGACAATGACAAATAATTAAGAGAAATCCATGTACATAAATGTATATAATCAAAAAGTGCAGAGTAAATGTAACGGGTGAATTTCTATTTTTAACACTGACTAGATAATGTGAAAAAAATCCTTTTTTTTT